GCTATGTCTTGCTCTTTCTTCATCTTAATCTTCGCCATAATTTCCACCATTATCTTCACCTTCACCTTCTTTTCCTCGTCCCTCTCAACGATCTCCTTTTTGATCATGTTGTTTCATGGTACCGAGTTACAGTAGAGAAGGGGAGATAGTTCTTTGATAAAACCTTCTCAGTGTCCCACATGGCATGTGATGCTTCCTATACAAAAGCTTTCTTTCACCTGAGAGTCTTAATTGCAATTCTTACAACTTCAGCTTTTTTATTCCACTTCAGGAGGATCTAGAAGGGGTAGATATGAGACAAGCCTTAAGCATCTTCATAGCTAAAATTTTTGTGCAGAGTTGGTTCTGAAGCAATTTGGATTTTCTTCTACAGGCAACTTTTGTGTCTCATTCCTTTCATATATATTCCCAACTAGTTCCTTCTTGTAATTTAGTCTTTTTTTATTATATTCTAATATTCTCATATCTTTGCTTTTATCTGTATCGCTTTTTAATGTATATATCTCTAACAGATAATATGGTAAAGGAATGAATATGCAAGGCAAACGTATTTTAACATGACAATATGGTTAATATCTTATACAGTATTTTGTCATATAATTTTGTGGGTGTTTGGGTGTTGGGTGTGTGGGTGTTTGTGGTGTTTGGGTGTGTGGGTGTTTGGGTGTTTGGGTGTTTAGGTGTGTTGTGGTGTGTGGATGTTTAGGTGTGTGTGTGTGTGTGGATGTTTGGGTGTGTGTGGTGTGTGTGTGTGTGTGGATGTGTGTGTGTTGTGGGTGTTTTGGGTGTGTGTGTGTGTGTGTTTGTGTGTGTGGTGTGTGTGTTGTGTGTGTGTGTGTGTTGTGTGTGTGTGTGTTGTGTGTGTGTGTGTGTGTGTGGATGTATGAGAACATGCACGTCCAACAGTGTTATCAGACCAATTTGCTCATGATTTTAGTACATTGATAAGAACCAATTTATGCCTATATTATAGGTAGAAGTTTGAACTCGAAACATTTATTAAGCATTTTTAAGCAATTGACTTGAGAATTCCATTGGATGCACTTGACCTCATATATACTGTATGTTTTTGTTTTTTTGTACACAATGAATATTCATTCCTCTTGCATATTTATCTGTATTAGATTTTTTAGGATGATAAAGCTTATACCACTTTCCAAAACCATTCTTTTTATATGACTGAAAAGAAAGTTGTAATTAAGAATAGGAAATCCTAAAACTGAGTTCCAGTTTGCCAGTGCTCAAAAAAATCCTTAATCTTTAATGACTTGCTGTATGTGATATATTAATGTTTGCTTTAATAGCAGGAATATTTGATTACAAAGTGTTTTAAAGTCTAGTCACCCAGGTTGTTGTATTTTTCACTAACACTGCCATTTTTGTCAGTGATTTTTATGCTTTATACTATTATTTTTTTGTTATTTCAAGCAGATATAGTGGAAATGTGTAAACCATTTTTTAGAGGTGATATAACATGTATTGTAGGGCATTCAAGGAAGGTAAAGGAAATTTATTTTATTATGTCCAATGATAGGACACTGTTTTCATGTCCTATTCTATCTGCGGTCATTCAGGGAAAGTTTAATTATATTCTTTAAATGTGTATGTTTGGAAAAAGCTCTCAGAGATCAGGTACTCAAACCTTTTTATGAGATTCTTTGACTTTCTTGCAATTTTACCTATTATAGCACTGTTTCATCTTTGTTAGCTAACTAATTGAATGGTATTTTGTAATTAATTTTTTTTATAAATCTAAATCTTTCGGAATATTTGTTTTTAGCAGAAAAGAATACTTGAGCTGGTGACATTTCCAGATTCATTTTCATCATTCTTAATACAATTCATTTTTTGAGGAAGATTACTAAATAGTTTTATACATAGAGTGTATCATCATTGATAATTCTGTTGCTGTCAGGTTTATATGTTAGGAAAATAATCTGTCATTGTCCAGCGACTGTTGAAATTCCATGCAGCGCTGGAAAAGAATGCATTCACCATATACAGTTAGTGACATAACTTGGTAAAAAGAAGCAAGACTCAGTGTGCGTAACACATTGCAGTATCTAGAATCCTCACAGATATTCAGTAGTAGACAGCCAATGTGACGAGGAATTACGTTTTCTGGTGAAAAAAAAACAAGATAGGGAAGTAAATGTTACTAATTCTCTGAATTTTACTGGAAGCTTTGCAGACACCATCTTCTGATTTCTAAAATTCAGCTAGGCATTCACCAAACTATAGCGAATTCCAACAGCTATGTAGTGAGGATAAGGTAATTCACATATTAAACTTTTATTCCCAGTTTTATAAGTTTTAGCCTTTTTTTGTTCAAATAAATGTGAATGTTTTAGACTACAGTAGGATTAAGTTTGCAGCAAATGTACTCCACCTTGTGTGCTGAGAAATCATGAAAAGGTTGATTACTTCATTTCAAATCTGAAGAAGTTTCTCAACAAGAGACTTCTATTATAGAATCTGAAAGAGAAAACAGGAGATACCTAAGTTTCTGCTTTGTCAAGTATTTTATAAGAAGAACATGTTGAATGAATGGTACAGCTCAGTTGTGACTAGAATCATTCCAACAATTAAATGTATAAAGTTAAAACATATCTGCTCTTGCCTCGTAACAAAACTTTCGACAAATTCAATTTGATATATTAAAGACTTGTGGCATTTTATATCATGCTATCTTGTTATCTTAAAAAACTTTTTTGTTTTGTTTTTAATTTTCAAGTCATCAGGATTTTGACAATTATGTTATACTGCTTTTTTGGTATAGAAGTGAGGATAAACATTATTGGTGCAGAGGTTGTCGTAGTTATGTTAGGATTAGATATTATTTGAAGTCCGACTCAAGGTATTAACAATTTGTTATTGCTTTTAACCATTAACCATTAACCATTGTGATACTATTTTGTCTGTCTGTCTGTCTGTCTGTTTTTTTTTTTTTTTTTTTTTTTTTTTTTTTTTTTTGCTATAAAGAGGAGTTGTGTCTTTAGGAGTACAGGGATTATATGAGTGATTTTAGTAGATAGGTTTTGAAAAAATATATATATTCAGATTTGGAGAAAAAGATGCATCCAGATGTTTAGCTAAAGAACATTATTAGTTAGTGTTTATTTTGCTTTTAGTATGAGGTATTTTTACATTTTTAAACATACTGCATAGGATAAAGTGTAAGTAAGAGTATGTATTTTGTTCTTGTTGTATGCAAGTACTTTTTTGAGATAGCCAATGAATGTTTTGAATTTACATAATTTTCTGAATGTGTTGAATGTGTAAGGTTTTCTTCTATAAATGTATAGAAGTGATACTGTTGAAAATTTCTGTAGAACAATATAGAAGAAGTCATTGTTATGAGGTATTTAAATGTTGTAAATTGTTGCTGCATGTTACAAAATACAAAATTTGCCTGAAATGATGTCGATCATTATTATCAATTGTCTTGGAATATATTAATTTAGATATACCTCAGATTATTTACAAATGTATTTCTCAGAATTTGTTAATAGAAATGGATGGATTCGTTGTCGTTTTCTTCCTTTCTCCCATTGTGCTAATTTGACTTTCAGAGAGAGGAAATGATACAAAGAAAGGATCTGTAGTAACATAGACTATTAAAAGGTGTAATTGTGACAAAATACATTAACACAGCAACTTGTAAAAAAAAAAAACAGTACAAAATGGAACAAAGTAGTATGATAACAAGAAAATAGAATACAGTGCATAACAATCAGATTTTTCCATCTTTCTTTTCTTTTCTTTTCGGTGGCTGCTGTTCATTTTACTGACTTTATGTTTAACTATATTTGCTATCGGTAATCATTTGGGATTTTTTTTTTTCTCTCTTCTTTTTCCATGTTTCTCTGAATTATATTTAAATTTTTTGTTGGATGCATTAACACATACAATTTGCATGAAAAGAAAGAAATGCACATGGGTAAGTTGCTTATGATTTATATATAATGATTTTTCTTTCTTTTATTTTAGAATCACCCTCCCCTATTTTCAACAGTTTACTTTAGGCTTGTAAATTTGCTATTATGGATGTGTGTCTGTGTTTATGCTCATGTCTGTTTTTGTGTGTGACTCTGTAAGGTCTGTGTGTGTGTGTTTATTGTATTTGCACTGATTGTATGGTGAATGAGTGAGATTATATGTACGGTGCTGATGTGAATCTATTACATGCACATACACTGGAAACCATTTAGTTTTCATCAAAGTTGTATTTTTTGGATGACATCAGGTCAATAAAAGAAGAAAATGGAATGAACAATTATGTGATTTACCTGATATGGTACACAGATACAAAATGCATAAAAAATAGACTATTTTGAAGGATGAAATTGCTTGCGTTACTTCCAAATAGTATCATCATTGAAAAAAATGTATTTGATAACACTTGGTAACCATTCCCATGATTGAAAAAGAACAGTTTGCAAGATCAGTACGATTTAGTATCTTACTGCCTGACTGTTTGATCCAGGTATTTCTCAAATTCAGTATCTAAATTCCATACAATCTGAGTTTTATTAAGATGGTTTGTGTTTATACCATCGTGAACAGAATGCTGTGTCGTTTCCCTTTGCTCTTCCCTGTCTTGCCTAGAGCAATATATTAATATTCTGTCGTGTGATGCATTTTGATGTCTTTTATGCCATGGTTGTACATAATTATAGTTAAGCATGCTGAAATATTGATGAGTTTTGCATTTTGCAGTCATGAGTGTATAATGATTGTTTATTAGTGAATGTAGACAATTTAATCTACATTTTTTTCTTCTCTTTTCTGTTCTTTATTAGAAAGTAGTAATTATTAGTATTAGTATTTTATTATTATTATTATATTTTTACTCATGTCCAGAAGTAATTGTTTTTTTCTCTTTTTCTTTCATTGAAGAGAGTAGTAGCATTTTATTTATTTACATAGTAATTGTCTTCATTTTGTTTTGTTTTTACTAAATATTCACAAAGTAATTGTGTTTTCTTTTTTTCTTGCAGATTTACCGGCTGTAGGTGATCAGAGATTAACTGAGTCACTTTCCCTTCCCCTTTTATTTTATTATATATAATATATATATATTGTAGCTGATGGAGGGTTTTTGGCAGCTTTTATGTTATGTTAAATTTGATGTTGTGTTGTGTAGTTTTTCACAACTAGTTACTTAATTGTTTTATGTATGTCCTCAAGCATGGGATTTCAAAGGTTCCTTCCCACTCTTAGTGCTTTCACTTTGTTCTCTTTTGTTGCTGTGTTGTTTTTATGGTATTATGTTTTTAGTTTGGATGTGATACATGTTAACTAATGTAATTGTTTCTGTTATTTGTTGTTATGGTAGTAGCATTTGTCATGCTGTGACCATATGATGACTGTTTTAGACATGTATATATTTAAGTTGCAATTTTTTTTTTTGCCATGTAAGCTATGTGTATCCTGACCTTTATGTGCATTTGTTACCTCTGAGCTCCTCCCACAATATAATATAAGTAAGATATTTGAATGATAAGAGCAGTTTACAAAAACAAATTTTGCATCGTTGGGTTTGTGCAATGTGATGCCTTGAGGTATTTATACTATTATTTAAAGCAAAAGTTTTGCTTGTGTATTTGCATTTATATTACATCCCTTCTTTGCAATGGGATTAGGGAATGCAACCTGCAGGAGAATACTTAGGGGTTGCCAGCAGGTTGCACAGAGATTGATTTGGTCTTAGATGAGATGGTAATTGGTTTTCATTTCTTTTTTATTCACAAGGACTCAGAATGTACCATTTGTGGTGTAGCAACTGGTGATTGTGCTGATGTACAGATGTGCTTTCAATTAAATATATACTCTTTGTAAATAAATATACTTAAACTTTTTTACAATTCTTTGTATTATTATTAACATTTTGGATGTCAGCCGTAGATATTTTTTTCTGTTGTGCTTGTCTTGGTATTTAGTACAATCATTGTGTTCCTTTATATGCTTACGTCTAATATATAGACAAATTTTTTCACCTTGTTGCTGTGAATGTGATTTTTTAAAAGATATAAATCTGTTAGCTTAAAGGTAGAGGTTAGTAAACAGTATTTACATAGTTTATTAATTTTTATTCATTTCAGTAGTATAATACATAATAATTTAATGCACTCAAATAAAATTTGTACATTGGTGCAAGTCGTCTGTGAAACGTGACTAATATTGAACTTCATATCCATTCGCACACGCACACTCACACACACTCACTCTCCATTTATAAGTATTGTTTAGTGTATAGACAATGAAAATGACTATGGAATGTAACAGACTTCACGAAGAAACAGTCTTGACCAGGAAAAGAAGACAAGAAACAAGAACATTACGCCGATCTCGTATTAGGATAATGGAATGCGTTAACGTCAGCGGTTTCCTTTATAGAGGAACCGCTCGTAGCTGTCTGATTGCTTGCGTGTGCTTGCAGGGCCGGAGGCGGAGATGGGTCGCTAGGATTTGGTGGGAACTGGGCTGTAGACTGCCATTCGGGAACCGCCATCATGTGTGCCTCGTTTGCCATGATCTTTTCGG